ACACACACACACACACACACACACACACACACACACACACACACACACACACACACACACACACACACGTAGAGATAGAGAGGGAGAGCTAGCAAGAGAGAGGGAGCAGTGGAAATGAGCTCTACGTGAGAAGATAATTGTGTTAAGTATCGGGCTGTGATAAACATGTCCTGATGTAGACACAGACCGAAAGCCCTCTGTGTCTGTCACTGTGCTGTGCTGTGTCCTGCCCCCTCCCCATGCTCCTGTTGCCAGACCAGCCTGCTCCCTGCTTTCCCCGTCACAGACCATAACTCATAGAATGAAACCCCCTCCTTTAAAATAGACAGTTAAAACATCTAATTCTTACTTCTCAATTACACCTCTATAAAGCCTTGAAAACACTGATTGTGGTGGCACATAACAGTGGTCCCAGCTCTTGAGAGGCTAAGGCAGGGGACTGGGGACTGGAGACCAGTCTCACCTACACGCTGAGTTTGAGGACAACCTGAGGTGCATGTGACCCTGCCATATATATATATATATATGCAATAAACCCCCTCCCCCTGTACATTGACTCAGTGGATAATAAACACATAGACAATACAGAAAATTTAAAATAAAAATAAACACATTGGTTTAATCATTTAAAAGTATGTGAAGTTGCTTACATCTTTATAGCTAAAACTCATGACAGAATTCTTCTGTTATATTTCTGGTCTTCTATCCATCTCTGAGCTTTTGATGAGAAACAGAGTCTCACCCTGTTCTCAGAACTGCAGAGGAAATTGAAACATGATACTGGAAAGTTGGGGGTGAATAGGACCGGGGGGCCCAGGCCTATAATCCTGGCTACCAGGGAGGCTGGGGAGGAAGATCACAAGGCCAACCTAGTGGGACCCTGTCTCCAAATAAAGAGTAAACAGCTTGGGGTGTGGCTCAGGCGCAGAGCACTCGCCCAGCAGGCACACAGCTGTGTCCGACCCCCAGCACTGCAGTCACCAATAAAAAGACATTGGGGGGTAACAGAGCTCTGATTGACCCATCACATCCCCCTTCCCTGATGGCTGGGCAGGTGAACTCCCGACTGACCCATCACATCCCCCCTCCCTACAGTTAGATATGGCTGGACAGGTGAACGTCCACTCAGGGAATGTGCACTGATGTGAATGTTACCTCTTGGCTACATCTTCTTGCCTGTGTCTCCGCAGTCTTCTTCCCCTTCCCACACACTGGGACTCAGCCATGGAGGTGACTCAGCCTTGACTGATCATGGAGGAACCACAAGATGGAAGAACTATGGCTCCTTCTGTAAGGAGGTATGACAAGGCACTTCAAGGCCTGGAGGGCTTACCTTGGATAACCCCATAAGAAAGAAGTGGAGTTCTTAAGATGTGAAACTGTTGATGGGACTCTGTCAAAGCACTCAGACTTAGTCTTATGGTTATGGGAAATGACACAGAAATGCTATTGCTGTTGAAAAGCCTACAGTATGTGACATTGTCTCAACAGCTGGGAGACGAGAAAATTGGTGTTGTTTACTGGAAAGTTGGTGGCATTTTTCTGTGGCAAAAACATTTGGCAAGGAAGTCACTTGCAAATAATTGAAGGACATCCCACATGCCTATTAAGCTCTTAGCTCTACAGGAAGCATTTGCATAAAAACCACATTGTTAATGTGTGCTAGCTGCTCCTTCCAGCATTTTTTTGGCCAAAGTATCACAGAAAGAGTACAGATTAGAACTGGCCAGACTGCAGTGTTCACAGATAATGCATTCAGGATGCAGGTCTCTACAGAGTTGACAAGTCAGTTGCTTCTATGTCCTAACCAAGAAATCAACCAGGGTTGCCCAGAGCATTTTCCAAAGGCTACTGAAGCTTCCCAGCCAAACTAAGAGACACACTTAAGAGAGGTGAGACTCAAGGTCTGAGGATTTGTACTGAAGCCTGAAATTTCAGACAGACTCCAGGCAACCCACTCTATGGGAGGTTGCTTGAGAGAAGGAAGCAGCTTAAGAACTGGGTCTATGAGAGACCTGGGGAGTTGACTGGCTCATGGAGCTGACTGAAGACTTTCAAGAGAATTATACTGTCAAAGAAATTATAAGTCTCATCAGTTTGAAAAAGTCTGTACATGTTTAAGGCTTAAAGCGTCTGGGGGACCTTCCTGTTATCTCCAGACAGCAGTGTGAAGCCTTCACACCTCCTGGGGCATGGCCCAAAGCTGGCTTTACACCATGCAAGAGGGGACAGTGGCACAGAACCTCCCAGAAGGCAAACTATCAGCCAGGAAGGACAACAGACACACCTCTTCCATATTCCCCAGATCCAGAGTTCCATGACCACCTCAATTGGCCATGCCATTACATGTCATTGCTGGTCATTCATATTCACTGCAAGAAAGGCCCCAGGGCTCTGACTATTGTTGGATGACTTCTCAGTGCACACGTGTGCACATTTCCCTGGGTCTGTTCTGCTGAATGTAATAATGAATCATGAGATACTTCATTCAAAATGCCAACCTCACTCTATGTCCCAGTTCCTCTTTTTCTTGTGGTGTATCTGTGAACCTTGGCTTCAGTCTTGTCTGTATTATCTCTGGATGTTTTGTTTTTTCCAGTCTGTGACTGGCCACTGGTACACAGCTGGAATTGAATTTACATCAGATTACCAATTGAGCCAAATATCTTTTCATGTTGCCTACTGGCCACTTAAATGTTCTCTTTTGTGTCATTCAAAGCTTTTGGAGAGAGCTGTGTTGCATCACATGTATCACTTTCTTCACTGTGGCTTGTCTTCTCACTGTCTGGTCTCTGGGAAGGGTGCGATCACGTAATCTGATTAGCCCTATAAATAGTTTCATCAAAACCCTCAGTCTTAAGCCCTTCCTGTCAGCAGTTCACACATGGCCTGTGAAAGTGCATCCCTTTTGGTTTCCCAGACACAGTATAGGGACAATGTAGTTGGGTAATATTCTCATTTCAGAGCGTTTTCGAGGTCAGGGTCACCTACAGACATCTGCAGTAGGGTAAATGTCAGACTGGCCCTATTGACTATGATTAAGATTGTCATAAAAAAACAAATGGGGGCAAGAGAAATCAGACAAAGAAGATGATACCCAAACCAAGAGGCAGCACTCTTAGATAAAGAGAGTATGGTACATACACAAAATTGGATGCTATTGAGCCTTTACGCAGAAGGAAAATCTGCCATTTGTGACAGCACAAATAAATCTGGAAGCCATGTGAATGACAGCAGAAGGCAGAAAGAAAACTGGACCGTGGTCTCATCTAGATGTGGAATTTAAACAAGTTAAACTCACAGAAACGGAGGAAGTGGCGGTTATCAGACCTGAGGTAGGACTGGGGTCATGCTGGTCACACAACACATTCCAGGCAGGAGGAACACGTTCAAGCAGCCTACTCTACTGCACGAGACTATGATTCACGAAACTGTATTGCATAAAACGTCAGGAGGAGAAGCGGGGACAGGAAAAAGACAGGAGGAGGCGAGGGAGGGAAGAAGGAACACATCAAGCAGGTGGGGGGAGGGATGGAGAAAATGTGTATTCACTGACAGCAAAGCTCTTAATCTACATCCAGGATGGAGTCCAATCAGCAGAAACTGCTGGGCAATGGCATCATCCCTTCTACGTCATTCCATTCTGGGATGACGTTTTTCATCTCAAGTATTTGGAAACTAAATACTTAACAGCAATAACCCACCCTACATGTAAATCAATTTATTGATTAAGGTAATTACAAAGTTATCACCATGAGGTAATAAACTTCAAACTCCATGCATCTTGAGATCATTCTAATTGCTACCTAAAAGGTGGCAGTCCAAAGTCTGGAGAAAGGAATGTTAAGATGTACCAAGGTTCACCAAGAGTCCCTAAGAACTGGTCTAGCAGATGTGAGCATTCCTGTCACTCCAGGAAGCTGTTTCCAGCTGGACACAAGAACTTCCACCCTGACTAGAGGCCTGGAACTGGAGTGAACAGGAGCAGATGGGGACACCTGTTGAGAACTGTTAGCAGAGACACTCCACAAGAAAAAGCCAGAGAACCAGGAAAGAACTGTACCAGAACCATGGGCTCATCAACCCGCGTGTGCCAGTCTCTGCGGTAGAGGCAGAACTGAAGATACTAGAGAGAAAATGGGCTCGCAGGTCTTTTGGCCCGTGTAAATGGTAGGGCAGCAGTGGGAAGGCCTTGGGAATGAATCACTTCAGTGGGTTCTTGTAGCCTGAAGTTCCTCCGGGCTTGCCCAGCTCACAGTCCGGGTGAATCTCTCCCACCCACAGACCAGCAGCCACTTATAAAATAATCACTTAGAGGCTTACTATTAATTACAAACTGTATGGCCTATTGCTCAAGCTTCTTGTTAGCTAGCTCTTATAACTTAACCCATTTCTATTAATCTATGTATCGCCATGTGTTCTGTGGCTTTACCTGTGTCCATTACGTGTTACTCCTTGGACAGTGGGCTAGCGTCTCCCCAACTCTGCCTTTCTTCTCTCTGTATCTCTGCTTGGATTTCCTGCCTGCCTCTAAGCTGCCTTGCTATAGGCCAAAGCTGCCTTATTTATTAGCCAATGGGAGCAGCACATATATTCACAGCGTACAGAAAGACATCCCATAGCAGGTCCTGGGCTGTCTCCCTTCTGTGTGTTGGTCTCACCTTTAGGTTGGTTTCTGTCACTGTGCCCTAAGAGCTCCTCTGGACACCAGTATTTACAAAAGAGAATAGATATCTTTTATCCGTTGTGGGAATTCCATCCACCAATGACTTTGGGGTATCTGGCCCAATAGAGGTATGGTTTTTTTTTCTGGGTATGTAACTGCTTAAAACTGAGGAGGGGTGCCTGTTCGCTCTCTCTTGGGGTGATTGGCGACTGGACGGCTGGTTCCAACGGAGGAAGATGACAATGGCTGTTTACTTTACTCTGTATCCGTGAGTGTACTTCACCCAATTTTATATCTTAATAAATCCTTGACAACTTTTAACAGACTCTCGTGGATTCGCTTAACATTTATTTAAAAATATCTAGTCATTTCTGCCTTGCATAACTCTGATCCAAACTGGATGCTGTAGTTTGGAAGTATTTTGTCCCCCAAGAATTTCTATTTAGGAGGTGGTGGTAAGAGTCGTAGAGCCTAGTGGTTAGAGCCTAATGCAAGATTGTTAAGGTTACTGGGGACATCATCTCAGGAAGGAATTGTCATAGTTCTTATAGGACTCTGACTATTAGGAAAAAGAAAAGACAGTGATGTGGTGATAATACACCTATTTTCCTAGTACTTGGGAGGAAGAAGCAGGAGGATCAGGAGTTCAAGGCCAGCTTGGGCTACATGAGACCTTGTCTCAAAACAAAACAAAACAAAATCAAAAGGACAATGGTTCAGCGGATAAAGTGCTTGATGTGCAAATACAAGGACCTGAGTTCAGATCCCTGGCACCCTTGTAAAAAGCTGGGTATGGCTGGGCCCATTTACAACACCTACGGGACCAAGTTGCTGGACTATGGACAGATGGATTTGGTTTTCTGTTTGTTTGTTTGGTTGGTTGGTTGGTTGGCTTTTGGTTTTTCAAGACAGGGTTTCTTGTGTAGCCCCAGCTGTCCTGGAACTCCCTCTGTAGACCAGACCTCTGCCTCCCGAGTGCTAGGATTAAAGACATGTGCCGTCACATCTAGCCAACAGATGGAGTTTTGAGAGACATGGATATTGAAGTGCATCCCAGGCTAAGGGAACAATATGAGCCTTCACTGTGACCCAGGGCACAGCACCACCCAGCAAGGACAGTGAGGACTTTGAAGACAGTGTGGACAGCGTGGACAGCGGCAATTTAGGAGAGGAAAGAACTGAATTAGATTTAGTAATGCTAAAACATCCATGTGAAAATATCTGGGGAAAGCAGAGAGGACTGGGAAGGAGCTGCTGGGGCTGTCAGCATAAAAGACAGACAGCCGCTTGTTAAATGCTATACATGGGCCGAGTCAAGCACTTTCCTTACACTGTTCCTTTATGTCTTCAGAATCTTCCAGAGAAACTCCTTTTGTTTTGTTTGAGACAGAATCTCTATAGCCTCAAACTTGCTACTTAGCTGAGGGTGGCTTTGAACTCCTCATCATCTTGCCTCCACTTCCCAGGTGCTAGGATGCTAGGTGTGTGCTGGTGAGCACTACTGTGGTATCAATATTTCCATCACAATTTTATTAAAATGCAAATAGATACACAAAAAGTTATTTACCAAGCCTTCCAGCCAATAAGTAGGATTCAAACCTGGTACTCTAGAGCCTAGATGCTGGAGAGACGGGCATGGGTAAGCTGGTTCAGGAATAGAGGAAGCCAATCCCCAGTCATTAGCTCCAAAATGCAGCAGTCCTCAATCTATGTGACTGCTCCGACTGTATATTTGATCAACAACTGTTTGCTGTATAGAGCCTTTCTTCTTACGTCATCTGGGCTCCTTTTGGCTACAAGTACTGGAAACACTGACTCGGCAGGCTAAAGCCATACTACAAAATGCCACCATGTAACAGGAGTGCCGACGTGTGCATCTCTGGAGTTAATCCCGTGGCTCCAGGCTACCGAGAACTCCGTCACCCCATCTACTCTGCATCCTCAGTGGTTACTCCTTGAAGCTGTTCTCCTGATGGACAAAAAACAGCTGCCAGAGTTGAAGTTCCTGTCAACCCACAGTGGACAGGCAACACCCACGGGAAATGGGTGGCCATCTCTGTCGTGTCCTTCTTTTATTCATGAAGAAACCTAGAAGGTCTGCCTTCATATCTTGCTGCCTGTAATTGTGTCACACACCCATCCATAACCAGTCACTAGCAAAACTACCGGCAAAAGGAACGGATTGCCGGACTGGTTTGGTGAAGTTCATGGCCGTGTGGAAGACAACAGATCACACAGTCAGGGCCCTCTCGGGAAGGAGAAGGCCAGGATGGAGTGAGGACGGAGCAGGCCAGGGCAGTGGGGTGGGAGATGAGAGGTGTGGTGCTGAGATCACCCTGTCTTGGCCATCCGTGTGCTGGCTCCCGTTTGCTGTGTTCTCTGCTGCAGTGGGAGAGGATTTCCTCTCTGTGTGTTTGGTGGTTTGAATAAGAATGGCCTCATAGGCTCATGTATTTGAATGCTTACTCACCAGAGAATGGCACTTTTTGAAAGGACTAGGAAATATGGCCCTTATTGGAGTGGGTGTGGCCTTGTTGGAGGAAGTGTGTCACTGGGGTGGGCTTTGAGGTTCCCAAAGTCCAAGCCAGGCCCAGTGTCTCTCTCTCTTTCAGCCTGCTGACTAGGATGCAGCTCTAGGCGCACTGCCATGTTCCCTGCCATGATGATGATGATGAACTAAAATTTCGACTCTCTAAAACCATAAGCAAGGCCCCAATGAAATGCCTTGGTCATGGTGTCTCTTCATAGCAATAGAACAGTATCTAAACAATGTGTAAAACACAAATACATATGAGTCTGTGAACAAAATCGCAGTATATCTGTAGTGCTAAAATTTCATAGGAGGACTGGAGAGATGGCTTAGTGGCTAAGAGCACTGATTGCTCTTCTAAAGGACTGAGGTTCAATTCCCAGCACCCACATGGCAGTTCGTAACTGTCTGTAACTCCAGTTTCAGGGCACCTGACACTCATGTCAAAACACCAATGCACATTAAATAAAAATAAATAAATTTTAAACCACTTTCCAATGAAAAAATTTAAAATTTATTTAACACTACAGGGAGTCAGGAGTGCTAACGGGAAAAACTAAACTGACATACACACACGCATTTCTTTCAGGTAGTGGGGGCACCAAGCAAACGTGACCTGCACAGCAGAGAGCTGGCCTGTGCTCAGGGCAGCATCGGAAGGACGCATACAAACCACGCTCTGACTCCCTCTCTGTTCTGCCTCCGTATGGTTCCGAACAGAGTAGCTCATGTTCATTCAATGTCTGTCTCTGTCATTCACCTGCTGAGTGTACAGCAGGCACTAACTGCTAACTCTTCACTCTGCACAGGATTCAATGATTGTCTTTCTTAGGTGATTCTTGTAGGCAAAGGGTTGAATGGAACATAGGAAAAAAAAAACACTAGTATTGAGAATTTCAATGATGGGAGTCTTCACTTTCCACGGGAGAACAACATTGTAAAGATGGCTGGAGCCAGCCATGCTAAAACCAAAAATATGATCCATAGCCGCGATCCATAGGACACACCGCTTTTTAACCCTTCATTTTTCTTTTTGCCCAAAAAGTAAGCATTCTTGCTGGGCGGCGGTGGCTCATGCCTTTAATCCCAGCACTTGGGAGGCAGAGCCAGGCGGATCTCTGTGAGTTTGAGGCCAGCCTGGTCTACAGAGCAAGATCCAGGACAGGCACCAAAACTACACAGAGAAACCTTGTCTCAAAAAAACAAACAAATAAAAACAAAAAACAAACAAACAAAGAGCAAGCATTCTTTAGAGCTGGTTGTAAATATATAGGGGACAAAAACCGACAGCTCCAAAGCGAGTACTAACTTAATTCCTTATAGTTTAAAACATACAAAATACAAACAAAAACTCCTCCAAAGCAGTTAGAACAGTGCGGTCCTGTTAGTGACCCAGGGAGAGAGTTTTTCCATCCTCACACTCCTGAGTTTGGAAACGTCTCATCCTTGCACTTGGGGCACTGTGAATGATCACCAGGGAGGCCTGTGGTGTGAGGTTTCACTTTGCTGTCCTTTCTCTGGGAACAAAACTGCTTTCCCTGTTAGGTCAGTGTGTTGCCTCCCCTGAGCTCCTAAGCTCAGAGGGGAGTCTCAGCCGAGGGGAACCCTGCATTCCCACAGCCATTTATGCCTGGCTAATTTCATGCCCAAGGTCACACTTTTCCTGGCTTCAGCACGCTGTCGTTTTCACACTGATTCCCCCTTCTAGGTTATCTGTTCCTGTCAAATGTCTCGTGGATTCATCTTGAGGAGACTAAGCAGGTTTGCTGGGTGTGAACTAACGGACGGTGTGAGAGGTGATGTGGCTGCCGCTGACAGTGGTGTGTATCTGGTATTCACCAGTGACCTGTACACACAGGAGCCACTTGTTCCTGGTGCAGTCAGTTGCTCACGCTGACGTGCTACAGAGGCTGAAAGGGTGACCCAGACCGTGTCAGTGTTAACTACACCACGGGGACAGAATCCGTGCATTCTAAAGCCATGCAAACTGAGGGGCGCTGGTATAGAAACAGGCAAATTAGTGTAAGAACCACAGGAGCCCCACCTGTGCCCAGCATCCCGCTTCAACCCTCCCGTGCTCAGCCAGTTGTGCCCACACGGCTGCACCTGCTCCACCCTCCCAGCACTCTAAGTCACTCCCGGTGCCTCTGTGTAAACACATCCATTCCCAGTTAAAACCCGTGGATTAACTCAGCTGTCAAACTTCAGTCAGAGACAGAAACGTTGTATCCGCAGCCAGTTGGGAGTCGTGGCAAGGGGCACTGGTGACAAGGTGCACTGATGGTGACAGGGTGCACTGATGGTGACAAGGTGCACTGATGACAAGGTGCACTGATGATGACAAGGTGCACTGATGGTGACAAGGTGCACTGATGGTGACAGGGTGCACTGATGGTGAAAAGGTGTACTGATGACAAGGTGCACTGATGGTGACAAGGTGCACTGACGGTGACAGGGTGCACTGACGGTGACAAGGTGCACTGATGATGACAAGGTGCACTGACGGTGACAGGGTGCACTGATGGTGAAAAGGTGCACTGATGGTGACAAGGTGCACTGACGGTGACAGGGTGCACTGATGGTGACAAGGTGCACTGACGGTGACAGGGTGCACTGATGTGACAAGGTGCACTGGTGAGTCTTTGCTCTATTCCGACAACAACCCTGTCAGTTATGATTGACTCTTTTCTGCAGACGAGACAACTGAGGCACAGACAGGGCTCAGAGGTTTAATGATGATCAATTACAGGAAAATGAGTGTTCGCGGCGTCAGACTCAGATCTAGGTCCCACATCCGGTCTCTGCTGTAAACGTCACCGCACAAAAGGGCCTCCTGCCCACTGCTGACTCTCCTGCGCCTACGCTCCCGGCACTGTGGCCCCGTCCTTCTCTTCACCTCCAGCCTCACTAGACGGAACATACTTGAAAATGAGAGGGAACGCAACCAAACAGGGACTCCCGCAGAGCCTTGCCCAGGTCTTTCCTCTCCTTTCCCGTGGGTATTGTGGTTCCCAGGGCCCCGCGTGTGTCCGGGCGGCCCTGCAGCCTGCAGAGGAGGGTGCAGAGGAGTCCACGCTGCTGCAAACCCGCCCCAGAAGGCCTTCTCTGCCACCCGCTCACAAGCTCCAGAGAGCAGATCATTGCCTCGAACCCTGCTAGGCCTCCAGTTTGGCCCGAGCTGCACCTAGGCTACACTGTTCTGTCCCTGCTCCAAACACCCTCTCTGGACAGCGGCCTCCAGGGGCGGAACATCTGGCCTGAGAAGGAATGTTGCCTGTGGAGCCTGGATACTGTGAAGACAGCAGAAGAGTGTGCAGGTGGTCGGGGGTGCGAGAGAGGAGGAGGAAGGTCCAGCCTTCCTTCTGTGGGATTCCCTCTGCGTGGCTAGCAATTCTAATGGCTGCGGATTCTTCAAGCATTGGTAGAGAAGGTCTTATGATGGCTTCTCCGTGTCCTTTTTCTCTTTTCTACCAAAGCTGACTTCCCTGTAAGTCTTTCTTCTATCAGAACAAAACACATACTCTCCCCTTTCCCTAAAGGAGTCAGTCACCAAGTGGGGTCCTTTCTGCCCCTTGGCCTGGAGTTTCAGAAGTGACTCTGGGCGTCCCTGGGACACAGACACTCAAGGGAGGAGGTCAAATGCCCCGAGGACAGTGGGACTGGAGGCTGTGGAAAGAAGGAGGGAAAGGTGACCCAGTTTGCTGTTGACTTAGGCCCCAAGCATCCAGCCTTGTACCCAACATCCCATGGGCCAAAAAGACAGTACTGTTTTGTGTGCCCGAGCTTACCTCCACTCTCAAATACCTATTCTGTGATAGCATTCACATACTCTTTCCTTTGAGGAATTTCCTTACTCCATCTAAATGACTCCAGGGCAACAGCCAATCATGAAACCCTTCTGCCCTCACAGTGGTGGGCATGCAACCCAGAGCTGGCCAATCAGATCCTTCTCCTTGGCATTGTCTCTATGGATACCAGAAAAGAGACGCCACCTTTCCCTCCAGGTTGCTAACCGAAGTTAAACTATTTGCAAGAACTGCCACCCCTTGTATCGAGGTTGCCCATTGGCTGTGAGAGATAAGGAAGCGTGCGCGTGCGTGCGTGTCTGTCTGTCTTGTCTGTCTGTCTGCCTGTCTGTTTTGTCTGACTGTCTGCCTGGTCTGTCTGCCTGTCTGTCTTGTCTGTCTGACTGACTGTCTGCCTGGACCTGGCCCCTTTATTTATCTTTTGGATTGTCATAATGTTTGTTAGAAAGAAAGCTTATTTACGTTGAATTCTCAACACTTCGAATCCTCATGGACTCCTTCCGTCCTCCCGACAATCCTGTGGGGCAGCCGAGGCACAGACTGACCCAGACAGCGTAGAGGAGCGAGGGTTCCCAGTAGAGCCCTGATCCTCAGGTTCTGCAGCAGGTCCGTCCCTGTTGCCAGCTGCCCCTCTCAGACGGGCAGCTCTGGTCTACCCCGGAAGCACGGCTGGCAGGGGTACCTGGAGCTCCGTAGTTGACAGCAGCACATCGCTGCCACGGATACAAGCACGGTTCAGCAAGCTCCACCGGGGAGAATTATTTCACCCCAAACTGTCCCTTCTTCACCCCAAACTGTCCCTTCTTCACCCCACCCCAGTTTGGGGGTTCCTGTTTCCTGAATGCCAAAGGAAACCCCAAAGTGACCAGTCCTCCAAAGGCACTTCAGGCTGTTAGGGACACTGGCCATTGTACAGCAACCTTCAGCAGAAAGAGCTGCACCCTCCAGCCTCCTCCTGCAGAGCCCAGTGTCGTCTGCTCCTGCTTGCAGTTTCCCTGGAAACTTGGCTCCCCAAAGCAACTGCCTCAGCCCTGTCTAGTCCCAGTCACTGCTCTCCCTGTTCACTGGATCCCGTTGCTTCCTGCTACGGCTGCAGCGAGCCCGCAGCTGAGTGGGACCTGGAAAACGTAAATAGGTATTTTTATCACCCAAACATCTGCTGAGAGAAATTAATTTGCACTTGTCACTTGCAAGGCATTTGCAAAGGTGTGCAACACACTCACTCTGTTGTTTAATCTTGGTTTTCAACCATTTCTTTTTCTTATTCTTCCACTGCTTTCAAGTTGGGCAAAATAACTGAGTGGGCCTACCCCTCCCTTTCTTATGAAAAGTGGACAAATTACTGAAAATTACTATCAAGGGACCTGTATAAATTGTATTTGGCAAGATCAGGTGTGCATGTGCCATAGCCATCAAATCATACATGACTATGATCCCGCTGCAGTGCATAATTGTCTATAAGTACAACTACAAGAAAGTTACAAAGCCAAGCATGATGGTGCACACCTCCCCGCACTGGGGAGAGGCAGGCCCACCAGCCTGGGCTACACA